CAAATCTATAGTACTCTGAACAAAAAATTTGAAGAAGACATCAGGCATAGGCAAGGACTTTGTGGACAGAAACCCAATTGGACAAGAAATAACAAAAATCATTGCATGGAATTATGTCAAATGCAAAAGCTTCTGCACAGTAAAGGAAACAAACAACAGAGCAAAGAAACAACTTACAAAATGAGAATAAATTTTTGGTAGCTAATCTTCTGCTAAAGGACTAATATCTACAACATATAAAGAACACAAAAATTTGTATCCCCATAAAGACCCAATCAAAAACTAGACAATTGAAATGAATAGACACTGCTCAAAAGAAGTAGTACAAATGGCCAAAAGGTACATGAAAATGTGTTCAGCATCTTTTGCCATTAGAGAATGCAAATAAAAACAATTGAAATTCCATCTTACTCCAGAAAGAATAGCTATCATAAATTTTAAAAATGCTGGCATGATTGTGAGGACAAAGGAACCCTTCTACATTGTTGGTGGGAATGTAAACTAGTACAACCATTATGGAAATCAGTACATAGATTCCTCAAAAACTAAAAACAAAAATTGTATTTGACTCAGCTATACCTCTTCTAGGTATTTTCCTAGAAGAGTTAAAGACGTCATATTACAGTGATACATGAATACCCTTGTTCACAACAGCACAACTCATAATGAATAAATCTTAGAGGCAGCTTATATACCCATCATCAGATGAATGGATAAAGAAAATGTGATATATACCAGTACTACTCAGCTGTTAAGAAGGGTAAGTTTGAGTCAGTTATAGGGAAATGAATGCACTTGAGTCCATAATGTTAAAGGAAATAAATCAGACACAGAAAGTTATACATCATATGGTTTTTCTCCTATGAAAAACTCAACATATTAATGATTTAAAGAATAAAAGAAACAAAAAGACAAATGTGAGCATCTGGACATGGAGGCATGGAAGGGTAGCTAGAGGAAATAAATTGAATCAAAATGCAATATGTGTATGTACCAATTTCTCATAATAAATATATTTAAAATAGTGGTACCTTGGTTCATGAAATTGATTCTTTCTGCAAATCTAGTCGCAAACTGAGTTGGATGAGAACCAAATCAAATTCAATGGTTAGGTTCTATGCTGACCTTATGAAGAAATATGATTGAGTTCTCATCCAATTTGGTTTGCAACCAGAACCATGGAGAGAATTGAGTTCATGAACCGAGGTACCACTGTATATCAAAAACATATATACAACACAAACATAAAATTTTTTAATAAAGAAAAGAGAATCCATAATATTAGCCACAGCCAACCCTATCCGCCAGTTATTTCCTTGGTTATTTTTGACAAGTCAAGGATTGACTAATAGGTCAAATGGATCCTGCAACCTCCATAAACAGATTAAGTTTCACAAAATTCAGGACTCACAGGGTTAGGAAATCATGACTTTTTGAAAATCTCAAATAACCAAGAGGCTGAACTCAGTATCGAATTCCATAACAAAGGTCCACTTTCAGATCTGTTACTTATTTGTGCCAACTCCAAACATGAGGTAGGAGATCAAGGATGAGGCAAACCCGACAACTACCTAGGTAGAATGGGTTAAAAGTCATAAAAACCTATGGCCAACAGGTTGAGTGAGATGTTTGACAAAGAGAGGACATGATATTAAGCTCATGTCTGAGCAATGTGGACCAATCAGAAAAATGCTATTTTCAATCCTACATTTCAATCTGGTGCTGTCTGCAGGACCAATCAGAAGATGCTATTTTCAAACCTTCATTTGCATGGGTGCACAAGCTGTCAAGACACTGTTCCTGATCCTTCATTTGCATCTGCTGGGTAGCCAACTAGGTCTTTTGATGGGGGAGTTTATCTCTGGCATTGAGCCATGTGAATTTTTGATAGAACATATATCCTAATGCCTTATTTGCATGAGGGGGTAGCCAACTAAAGAATTTTGGATGCTAAAGACCCAGTTTTCCCTTATCTGTGGGGCCACTGTGAGTGAGCCTTTTCACTGGTGCCCTGTTGCCCTGTAGAGCACACCTCTTTTCTTTCTTCAATAAATGTATACCTTTGCTACCTTTTCTGTGTCTTATCCAATTCTTTGCTCAAGACACCAAGAACCTGGAAAGAATACTCATGGGACCCTCCATCCCAAAACAGGCAGGCTGACTAAATGGCTGGACTGAACGGCTGTATTTCCTATTCAAGGTCAACTTGCAGCACATATAACTCTACCAACTGCCTTAATAAATAATTGTCATATTCTACTGAAATTTGTATCATTTTGAAATAATGGAACACAAAATTTAATCATCCTACTTCATGTACAATATATACACATATTACATTTATTTCCCTGAAGAAATTAATGAAACATGTGCACATAAAAGTATTGTCAGGAAGAATGCATCCCTCCTAAAAATTGTTACTTTCCTGTGTTTGTGTTCAAGTACTTGGTAGGTGCTGGGTTCTGGTAATACAAAACAGGGTAAGATACAGGAGAAACCCCTCAGCAGGAGCGCTGTCTTTTCTCACAGAAAAGAAAGCTGTGCTGGAATGTATTAAAGGAAAGCTTGGATGATATGTGAACCCAGAAGGTGTTCTGCCTGAGTGTGGGATATCATGAGGGTACTGAGGACATGGAGAAAAATGCCTGAGCTGATTGCTAAAGATATAGTAAAGCAGATAGATGAGCAAAAGTATGTTAAAGAATAGCTCTTCAGACAGAAAAATAAAATTTTTGTATGTAGAAACTTGGAAGATACTCAGTCTAGCTGGAGTCAATTGTTAAGAAGCAAGTGGTAAAATTTGAGGTAATTTGTAATGGACAGAAATGATGAAGATAAGAATTAACATTTGGCAAACACATGCTCCCTAAATCAGTCCTAGGCTACTAAGACTGGTGATGAGTGGTCAAAGAATATCTTGCCAGGGGAAAAGACCTATTGGGCTTCTTTAACAACACACCTATTAACAAAGATTTTGTTCCTATTTTTCCATTTTCTCATATTAATCTCATTCCCTTCTATCCTTTCCCCTAGCCCTCCCACTTCCTTCCCCTTTGCCCCTTCTTCTTTTTTTGTTTTTTTTTTGTACCGGGGATTGAACTCGGGTCCTTGCACTTGCGCAGCAGGCGGTGAAACCACTGAGCTAAATCCCCGGCCCTTTTGTTGTTTTTTGTTTTTTTGTTTTTTTGTGTTTTTGGTACCAGGGATCGAACTCAGGACCTTGCACTTGCAAGGCAGGCGCTGGAATCACTGAGCTAAATCCCCGGAATGGGATTAATATGAGAAAATGGAAAAATAGGAACAAAATCTTTGTAAATAGGGAGGAATGGAGGGGTTGAAGGGAGGGCTGGGCAAGGGTGAAAAATAAGAACCAAGAAAGAATATGTAAAGGTGCAAATTTCCAATGATGAATGTCATTATACTGTATACCTAAAATGTACCAATGATTAGAATGAATAATCGATAATGCAAAATAGGAAGAAAAGGTCCAAAGGGGTAGGGGTAGTGGGAGGGGCAGAGGAAAGGAAATAAGGGAAAGGAAAAATGATGAAAAATGGAAAAAAATGGAAATAAAGTCTTTGTAAAATAGGGAAGGGTGGAGGGGGTGAAGGAAGGGCTAGGAATGGGGAAAAACATAAGAACCAAGATGCATTATGTAAAGGTACAATTCCCAATGAGAAATGTAATTGTGTTGTATACCTAAAATGTACCAATAAAGAATTTAACAACAAAAAAAACCAAACAAACAAAAAACAACACACCTTGATGCATATCAATCACTAGTAGTATTGCCTCGAGAGAAGAATTCTGAGGAGAGTTCAGCCATGCCCCTCAGCGACCAGGGTGAGCTGGTCACAGTTAATGGGAAGAAAGGACATTAATTCCTTTCACCCACCCTCTCCCAATACTCAAAATATCTAAGATTCTCTTTTAAAACCAACAAAATCATTTTCAAAACAGCCTAGTCCCATCACTTAAAATACAGAAAAGGAGTAGAAAGGAATCACATTGCAATCATCATTTAATCCAAAGCAGAGGTCCATGCCTCCCCCAAACAGCAAGAACTCTAACCAGAATCCCACTAGACACACGAAACAGGCAAATCCAGGTCTCAAAAAGTCACCCTGCCTGCCTGCCTTGCAAGCGCAAGGTCCTGAGTTCAATTCCTAGTACCAAAAAAAAAAAGTCACCCTGCCACAAGCCCACTACTTCCATCTCTAATTAGGTCTCCTGGCTCTGAGCTACAAAACAACTTTATTTATGGGGTTATTAACAGGGTTTAAGTGTCACATAAAGAAGAGACCCTGTAAGATCTGTTCTAGAGAAGGTTTATTATTCCTTCATTCATAATTAAATCAATGACAGCTTTCTTCTCTTCACTCCGTAAGCTGGTGGTCTGGAGAGGCTGCCGTTTCAGACAGCTCCATACTCATGCTTTCTTACGAGCCTCGTTGAAGGCTGTTGTACTTATCCTAGGACAGGAAGGGGTCCCATGTACTTTTCTCACATTCAGATGATAAGAGGAAAAGCCTGATGTGATAGCTAAGATTTCAGTAGATTTGTTTCATACAAAGTTTTCTAATGCATCTGAGAAAAGATTTAGAAGGCAATACAAACACAGAAGTAGGTAGTAGCTAGTGGTTTCTAGGAGCCAGAAGGCAAGGAAAAAGATTATAAAATCTAAAGCAACTTTCACAACCCTAAATAAGAAGATGGACACTAGGAAGACTTCCTCTTCCTCAAGCTTTGCTAGGAAGCTTTCTAAAGTTTAACATCATGTACCCACAACTTTAGATAAAGTCATTTGAAAAGCCAAGCACATTGTGAAAAGAACATCTTAAACCCAAGTACTAAGGGCTCTGATGGGTGGTCAAGTTGTAGTTACCTATGCTAGAAGATTGGTATTAAAACAATTTTATGAACTGAGTAGCTCACAAAAGGAAAAAAAATACAGTAACATTTGAGGCAAGGAAGAGAAAGTATAGATTGAGAAGAAACTATTTCAGCTTTAACATTGATATTTATTTCTTTTAAACTCTTTTCCAATTTCTTGGGAAACCAGAGTGAGCTACACTTTCATTCTCACCTACATGTGCAGGACTGTGCAACCATACCCTCATGTTCTTTGTACAAAATACTCCCATTTGCCTCAATAAGAAGAACACTCATAGCATCGTACTTATAAGGGACACAGGAAGGCTGAGGGATGCTCTGGTTCACCAGCTTATTAATGAGGCTCTGGATGATGGCATGATTGGGGGAATTGAGACCATAGTGTAGTACTCGAGGGCAAGTTCCTTTACAGTAATTCGGGGTATAGTGGTGGGGAGCAATGATCCAGTGATCCCAGCCCAACTGACGAAAGCTGACTGTGTAAGGATGGAGGGAACACTGGTTATTTTTAGACTCATCCTGTTCCTGGGAGGGGGTAGAAACCTCAGGTGCAACACTATCTACTTGCCGAGCCTTCCTTGAGAGAAGAGAAGATTCCCCTCCCATAAACTCCTCCAGGCCACTGGGAAGAAGTTCAGCCTTCCAAGCAGTTTTATGAGTGTCATTGAGATGAAGTAGCAAGAAGGCAATATCCATGGACAAAGTGTCATGCTGGTGGAACTCAAGAACCTCACTATTGTTTTGCTGCTGACACATAAAACGCAGTCGTAGGACCCTCCGTCCCTTGTGATTCCAGAGCTTCTGCCGAATGTGTTGGGTGATATCCATCTCTGTCCAGGTCTGAGACATCAGGGACAGCTGTGAGGAACCTCTTCCTGATGAGTGGTTGTTTGGGCTTTTGGGGACCCAGAGCTCCACATGGCAGGAGAGGCTGAAGCGAGCTAGGTGGAGTTGATGGCGGTAAACCATAGTGGCTCTCACTAATTGGTAAGCTACCCGGTTGCGTTCTAGAAGAAAGTTCAGAAGCCGTGTATGCCAGGAACCTTCACAAGAGAGCACAGAGAACGGGTTAGCTTCTTACCTCCTAGGCTGAATAGCCCTCATAAAACTGTTCCATACAGACAGATGTACTCAGCCCTAAAATTAACTCAAGATAATGATAGTATCTATAGTTTCTTGAGTGTTTATTAACATACTAGGTGTTTTATGTTTATAACCTCTTTAATCCTCAATAGGCTGAGATATTTTTTATCCTCATTTTGCCAACAAGAAAATTGAGGCTCATAGAATATTATAAGAGACACAGAGCCAAGGGTTGAGAATCGTGTCTCAGTGGTAGATCACTTACTTAGCATATATGAAGCCCTGTGCTCAATCCCCGAAACCACAAATCAAAACAGAAAGGACACACAGTTAATATGTGGTACAATCAAGATTTGAGCCAGTCTATTTCAATATCAAGAAATTATGTTTCACTTTGAGATCACTCACAGGGCTATGTTCAGCAGGTAAAAACTCAAATATGTAACTATTCGTCATATTCCATTCATAGAAGTAGATAAATTATATTATTGACTATTACAGATATTCCTCATTTAATGACCTACTTAATGACTGCTCAGCTTTATGACTGAAGCACAGTTTGGACTTACAACTCATCCTTTTTATGGTACAGTTCTGCATATCTTGTTTATAGAGCCTCAATGTCTTTTTGCACAGTATACCTTGTTTATACAATATTGTGATTTTTGCTGATTGTAGTGTACAGTATAGTTCTGTAGTTTTATGTTCTGTTATACATTACAGTATTGCATATAAGAGTTAGGCAAAATAAAAGCAAAGCCATCAAGCTGGAGTTTCCTTTCACTGTTTCTTTGTTTTGAATATTGTAATACTATATTCAATTCCTCACTTAGCAAACAATTCATTTAATGACGTCGCAGAAACTGTTAAATGAGGAATGTCTGTACTAGGTAACTAATGAAAAGAGTTGAGACATACATGGATTTAAAAAAATCATGTCATATCACTATACAGATGAAGCTTTGGGGCAACAATGCAGGGTGCTATGCCTGCCATCATGTCAAATCTAGGACCAAGACACCACAAAATAATGTATATTCCCCCACTAGTGGGGACAGCTATTTTTGCTATTTCTACCTTCTATCAGCTTCAAGAATTGCTTCTTGAGTATTGTTGCCTCCTGGCCATCTCTCCTTTATCCTTCAATTTCTCTCTTTTCTGTTCTTTGCTGGAAATAGTTCACCATTTACCCCCATTCATTTTACTACCCCTTCCCTAAATACTATTTTAACAAGGCCTTGCCACCTAAATACTGTTATTTTGTTTCCAGAGAAGCCTAACAAAAGCTGCATATCCCCTAATGATTAAGAGCTTTATTCTAATCTCTAGGGCTGACATCCACTGTTCAAGGCTCTGACCTTTTACTCCCCCTCCTGGCAAAGGTAAAGAACAAAAACTACAAAACCAGCTACTTCCAGGAAAAACCCTTCTCTCATCTCCACATGTCTTAGTAAGCATTTGTGTTAATTTATATATTATTCACCTAAACTTCTTTCTCCACTGAATCTATAGTCCTGGAATTTTTCAGTAGTACAGGGATTTTCAACACAGTTTTTGTGTATTGATATTCCAACTTATGCCCTCATGTTTGGGACACCAACCATCAATCACATGAGGTCCAAGCCAGGCTTCTATTTGCTTTCTCAAGTTATTCCACAATCCCATCTTACAAGAATTTTTCCAAGGACTCACCCATACACCTGCTCCACTCAGCCTAGAAAGGAACCCAACCTAAAACTCCAGCAAGGAAGTGTCCTTTCAGACCCTGACATCATGTGTTTCCAGAAGTAGAGTGGGGTTGCTAAGGATCAGAGTGAGAAGGGTCTACTTAGAACTTTTCAGGTAAAGGGATGATTGATACAGCCTGTATAACAACCTGTCATCTTTTGGATCCTTTCCAGAGTCCCTAGATGTCAGTATGTTTTAAAGTCACCCCTGAATACTTGCCTAATTCTAGGCATCTTCTGTATGAACTTGCTTTTCACAGCTGTCTGCTGCACTTAGGAATGGAATCCAGATCCCTTGAGCCTAAAGGTCCCTGCCTCTTATAGCCTCATATCTTTCCATACTTCACAACATTTACTTAGCTCCTGCCACACTGATACTTGACAAGCTTGTTGCACAATGGTGCCGAACCTACAACATGTGTGCCGCAGTAGTTGTTTGTTATCACTGAAAGCTCTAAAAGGTTCGCCATCACTACTCTAGGGCTTTGCACATATTCCTTTCAAGTAAATGAACTTGTTCTCTACCTTCTCATGCCTAGCTTCTTTCCTTATAGGCCTCAGCTCAAATGTCACCTTTTCCAAAATACTTTCACTGAACTCCATGATAAGAGATGATAGCACTGCTATTCTATACCATAACAATCTTATTTCATTATTTGATGGTACTTGTCATAATTTGCAATGACTTAACTATATTTCCTTATCTATCTCCCCTATAAGAACATGACAGTAAGGGTTTCACCTGTTTTAATCGTATCTATTTATCTAGAACTCATTAGATGCTGAATAAATATTTATTAAATCAATCTTCATCCATACCAAGCTATTTTCTCTTTCCTAAGTCAGAATGTACTTCTCTGCCAGGCTGCATAGTCTCCTTACTCCTTCTCCAAGTTCCAGTTCAAACATTACCTCCTAAATGAGACCCTTTCGCATTCACTCTACTTCCTTTTTCTTGCTCCACACAGTGAGCTATTTCATCTTTATCCTCCTGGAAGCCTTGTTGCTCACCTTCTTCAGATCACTCTTTGTACCATAACATCATTATGTGATTATCTATCCATTCTTTTACACTAGGAGCTTCTAGATGTCAGGAAAGCAGTTATTTTCCTCTGTGTACCCAATCCAAATAGAATGCATACTGCTCAATTAAAATCTGTTGGGGATTCATCAGAGCATGGCAATTAAAGGCACAGGCTCTGGAGCCTGAGAGCATAGGTTTGACACCTGGCTCTATCAATTACTAGCCAGGTAACATTGATAAAGTTATTCTGAGCCTTGGGTTCTTCACCTATAAAATAGTTATATTAATCCTACTTACCATATCTGGTGGTCATGAGAATTAAAGGAGATAATGTTTGAAATATGTGTTGTAAAATTCTTGGGACACCATAAACTCACAGTAAGGGATAGCTAGGTGAATTTTGGTTGTTTTGTGGAGTAGGGTGGGGCATCTGTCTATAGTCATCTGAGATTAGAGAAAGCCCCAGATTGATCTCATGATCTCAAGAGTTCCTTGAAGTTGATGGCTGTCTACATTCTGTAAAGAGCCCTACACGTTAGGAGCTGCTATATTAGAACAGTTTAATGCAGATTTGTAAAACAAAATCAAGCACTAATAGAACCAAGAAAAATTCCAAATCACATTTAGAGCCAATATTCCAAAGTAACAACATAGCCTAAATAGGAAAATTGCTTGATGGACAAGGATATTGGGATACTGTATTTAAAAGGTGAAAAGTTATGGACAGATTTTAGAATTAGTCCCAAGTTCAAACACGATCTCTGCACCCACTGTCTGCATGATATTTGCAAATTATTTAATCTCTCCATTTCTTAGTTTTCCTATCTTTAAAATCAAGCTAATTGTCCCATTATAACAAATGGTAGTCTGCTCTCATAAGGATTAAGTACAATAACATGTTCACACAATCAGGTATATAGACCCTAAAATATTAGCTTGTTTCTGTCCTGTATGAGGCCTTGTATATTTTCCCTAACTCAGCCTTCTATGCTATTTGCCTTCTAAGAGGAAAAAACCACATAAACAGCCGTCCCCAACAGTGCAGTTGGGTATTTCTCAAATACAATTTTTAGAGCTATCACAAGCAATAAGATTTCTATGAAAGACAGGGGTGGACATATTCTTTATTTGCCCCCAGGGATTGAAAAATTCCTCACTAGGTCCCAGTATCATCTGTTTAAGCTGGGGCCCTAAAAAGAAGGTAGGCTTGATACCAGCTTTCCCAAGCTTGCCATCCTTTGAAAACCATGCCTGAGGAAGCAATCCACCCACAAACAATAAAGTCTGACTCTAAACCACAGATTCCTTGTCCTCTGTGGACTTTTCCGCTTCTCTCCTCCCCAAAGCAATATGGAGATACAAGAACTCACCTCTAAGAGGCCTTGCTACATTGGCTGAGGGCATCAACAGCCTCACCATCGTGGCACCAATTGTGCGGTTTTCCCTCGGGTGCCCATCTGAGTCAGCTGAACGCTGGTACAACTCCAGCATGTACTGCAGGGGAAGACCTTGGAGGTATGGCTTTCTCTGTTCCTTTCCAGGGGCTTCTTCTAGCAGCTTCTCAACAAAGGGCATGGTGGGAGTTTCAGCCGGTGGCAAGGTAGGGCTCTCAGGCAGGAAGGTGATAGCAGGCTGCCCTACCTCTGCCATTTGGACTCTATCTTCCAAATAAAGCATCAGTCCAAAAAGAAGAAAGAGTCTAAGAGAGCTGAGGATAATCATTTTGAAAGGCTTGGTATTCAGCAATAGCTTCCAAACTAAGCTCAAAGTATGCCACTGTGACTCCTTTCTTTCATGCAGGTAACCACGACTTAGCTCCACAACAACCGAGGATGGGCCAAGGAGGGAGGGAAAAAAAGAAGGGCAGGCAAACAGGTCCTATATTGCCTTCTACTCGAGGATATCCAGAGCCAAAGCAGATCTCCTCACTTGGCCTGTTGGCATGAAACAAAGAGTAAAAGCAAGTAAATAAGCAAGCATGTCTTCCCTACTTTCCAGGGCTGGGAACAAGATAGTACTTCTTCAGGAGGCTGAGCTAACACAAGAGAGGTCCATACTAGAACTTGCTCACTTACCTTATCCTGGAGGGTAAAATAAATACTCCTGGCCTGCTAGTCACCACAGTTTTAAACACATGCCCTTAATCAGGCTTTAAAGGGCCAGAAGCCTCCAGCTCCTATCACACTTCCATGCCTCTAATGCAGCATTTCCCAAAATATAGTCTGCTGCTAATTTGTAGTGAAACTATCTGAGATGATTGTTAAGAATGAAAATTCCTGGATCTGGACTCAAACACGGACTCTCTGGGGGTATCAAGTGTTCCAGAAATTTCCTATGAACGCTAAAATCCAGAAGTCAGATTTCAGTGATTGTAGCTGCTGGAGTCTGAAGAAGATGGCTTACCAGTGGTTGTCAATCTTGGCTGTATTTTGGAATCACCTGAGGAACTTCCATTATTTTGAATTCCTGGATATCACCCCTCCATCAGGAATTGTGATATAATGCATCTGGGATGTGAGAGAATCAGGGTTTCTTTTAGTGTGTAGCTAAGCTTGAAAATTCCAACTTGGAATTGTTTGGGTTTTCCATGGCAAATGTTCAATAAGCTTTATTGGAGAAACCTGAGTCAGTTGCAGAGGAGCGTGTGAGAATTCACCTAGCCCACCTGGTTAATGGGAGACAGCAGGGATGAGCCAGTTGGTTAAGACTGCCGTTGGGCCAGGATTCTGAAGAAAGATGGTAGATGTAGACTTGGCCTTATCCAAGTTTGCTGGGGCTCTGAAAAGAAGTTGGGGCAGAAAGTCAAGACCTGTATCTTGGTTACTTTTCTCCCATTGCTGAGACAAAATACCCAGCAGCCAAAGTTAAAGGGGGAAAGGTTTATTTGGTGCACAGTTTGTAGATGTTTTAATCCACAATCAGCTGGCTCCAAGGCAGGGTAGCACATGGCAGAGGGGCAACAGTTCACGGCGTCAGAAGACAGCAAAAGCAAGCAAGGGACCTAAATGGTGGGGGTCTTTCTGCTCCTTTGATCTTATCCAGACTACCAGGATTAGGGCGGTGCCAAATCAATCAGTGGACTGATTTAGTAATCACCCACCCTTAATCCCAGTGTCACACACTCTAGATTCAGCCACCTTTGAAAAAGCTCTATGATCACATGAGGCTTTGGGGGAACATCTAGACATAAACCATAACAACCTGGTTATAAGAGAGGATGAGTCAGGCCTGATTTGTAGAAAAGCTTTACTTCATAACAGCAATATTTATGGTCAGGCAGCATTGCTGTGGAGTAGCCATAGGCTTTAGTTGGGAAGTTGTTTTTTTGTTTATGAGAGATCTTGTTTTTCTTACATAAATTCATGGGGAATAGGGCCCAGAAATTCAGGCTCCTTTCCTTTTGGAAGTGTGCTTCTCTGGACAGAGCAGGCTGATAACAGAGTTGAGCCCAGGTTCCTTTGTCTTTTGCTTTCTTCATTTCCCAATCATTTTTCTTCATGCATTTCAGGAAGCTATGTTGGCTCTCAGAGAGCTTGATGTGCTCAGTACCAACATCATTTCTGCTGGTGAGACCCTTGCCCTTAACTTGCTTGTTTGCAATGATAACAGCATACTGCATTATGCTGTAGATTCTTCCAGTTCTGGCATGGTAACACTGATGGAGCATTCCTGACAGTACTCATTCTCTTGATGTCTACAATAATAGCCTTCTTGTAGATTTACATGTACATGTCCAAAGGAACAACTTCATGTTTCCTAAAAGGCCTAGAGAACATATGCCAGGTGCCTCTCCTCTCCCTTTGTGTTTATCATTTTGCTGGATTATTGGATGAAGTCAAATTCAGCCACAAAGAAATCAGGCAGTCTTTGTAATCAGACAACTCTATTATATGAATTATTTCTTATTATCTATTTCTTATTAGCTGTACTTCAACCTGTCTAAGGCAAATTTTGTCATTTCTCTGAGCCTCAGTCTCCTCACCTGTAAAACAGAAATAACACATTTTACCTCACAGGTTGTGAGAATACAAGTAACTAATCTATGTTAATTGTACAAAGCCTCATTAGATATATGGCATATGGTCTAAATTGTACAAGTAGATATGTGGAATATAGTTACGCATTTGAAATCATCTGTTCCTTTTCTCCGTTTTTTCTTACATAACTATAGGTTCTAACATGCATTGTAAAACAAAAGATGTGAGGGGCCAGGGATGTAGCTCAGTGGCACCACACCTGCCTTGCAAGCGCAAAGTCCTGAGTTTGATCCCCAGTACCAAAAAAAAAAAAAAAAAGATGTGGGCTAAGGAGTTTTCTAGATCTCTGCTCAAATACTGATAATCTCTATATCTCCACTCAAAACGATCAGCTCAGGAAACTTAAGCAAGCCTTAGTTTCTTCATCTATATGGCTAGCTTCACCAGAGAGTTGCTGTGAGCCTTATATTGGACCCATTTGTATTATCTACAATAACAGACAAGCGAGGGATATACACAGATGGTTCACAGTATGCAACTCCTGAATAAACAACAAATATTAAAATATGTAATGAAAATCAGGAAAATGCAATGTAATACCATGTAAAATATGATTTCACATCCACTGGATAGACAGCATAATAAATCTGACTTTATTAAGTTTAGGTGATGACAGGGAAATGATGTTATCAAGGGGTTCATTTAGTTTGGAGCATGATTTCCCTTGATGTCTCCATGATACTGGAAGGGGCTTGTATCTCTCAAGAACATTTACCTGCCATCTTTTTAGAGTTGGATGTAGGGAACAGGGAAAGGGGACATTACTAGAACGTCTGTAGTAAGTAAGTCTTAGTCTCCTGTGAGCCACGGCAGCACAAGGTGAATTACAGGAAAGGTAGAAAAATGAGATTGAGAAGAAGCTGAGCTTTGGGTCTGATCAGTGCTGCTCTGGGTGGCAAAGACGAAAGCCCCCAGCTTATGGCACCTTTTATTCAGTTCATTGGGAGAAACAAATGTAACAAATGACTTGCAGAGAGTTCAGTACATCCTGCGTAAATAAGATGTAACAATCCAAGAACAAGGAGGAACTGAGTAGATGTTTGTTCCTCCCAGGATGTTTTCAACTCCCAGGATGTTTCTTGTCCTAGAGAATCACAGCTTCCCTGGATCATTGAGATCTCAGTTGTGACCAGGGGCCAAAATGGAATTATGTCTCGGAATTCCATAGCTGGGCTGTAGGCAGGGGAACTAAGCTAACCAAATGATTTTTCCCTAAAATTATGTAGCATTGCTCCCAACAATTGGATTCTGATATAGAATCAAAGGAAGTAGAAAGAGCCAACATATTACACAAGAGAGAGCATGATCTTGGTTTTAATTCCTGGTTCTGCCATTTGGGAGGTATCACTTAACCTTTGTGCATCTCTTTTTTCTTAACTATAAATTGGGAAAATACTTTTGAATATTATTATTATAAGACACCTAGATAATCTTCAATAAATGGAAAATTGTTTATGTTTAATAGCCTACATTTAAAAATATTTGTAAAATATACCTGAAAGAAATATCTGCTCAACACCTTCAAAAGTTCATCAAAAGTTTTATTCCATCACTCTACCCACCAAGGCTTCAGGAGATTCACCTGGCTGAATAGATCAGCTTTCTTGTTTTCAGAAATTGACATAGAAACTAACCCCTTTCTTATTGCCAAAATGAAAGGAATCTGACATGATTATTTCCTGAAAATTCCTTCAGGTTGGCCCCATGCATTCTACTTCTCCAAAGCCCTAGAAGAAGGCACCATCTGTCTTTCTAGCCTTGTATTAGGGGTGGGGGTGAATGGGTGGTTTGTAGGGGAGTGGAGCAGGATATGTTAAAAGATATTTGCCAGTTCTTCCTGCTTTAGAAAAAGAAAGTAATGTTAAATAAGTAAGCATATAAATCTGACAATTTAGGTGATTATTAGTATGACATAAAAGGATCTGAACACACAAAAAATGGGTCACCCCCAAAGTCTATCAGCAGTAGGCACTCTTAATGTTGTAGTATGGATTAAATTTCAAACTACAGTATGCTGGGAACACTGATAAAAATGCATGAAATTTACAAAGAATATATTTGTATCCAATTTGAGGAACATGGCCACTGTATAAAGTATACATGTATACTAGCATCTTTCGTTTATGAGGTTATAATTTACACTGTCTTGCAACAATATTCATCCAACATATATCCAATAAATACCTCCTATGTGATTGTAGGTGTTAAGGATGCAAGCCCTTAACCAGACTACTTGGGTTCAAACTGCAGCTCTAACACTTAACTAGTTTAGTAATATTGGGCAATTGACCTAATTCTGTCCCTCAGCTTCCTCATCTAATAACATGTGTAATAATAGCACTATATATTTTAGAGGGTTGTGGCAACAATGAAAGTTTGTTGGATGCAAGCACAGTACTTTTCAAAGCCCAAGTCTGGAGGGCAGATGACTAGATAACTGACTACCTCTACACTGGACAAAGGAAAGATGGCTTCTTCCTGAATGTCCTAAAAATTGGCTACATATTAAGTATCATTCCATTTTCTATTGTTTGTCAGTTTCTCAGGCAACAGGCATGGTTGAATAACAATGGAGCCTGTGTCAGAAAAGTTCACTGCAGAAAAGTCATTTTGGCTACTACTTGGGACAGAGGAAAGAAAGTTAAGACCTAGGAATTTGAAGGAGTCCAAACAGGAAGAAATTATTAATGTTTAAGGATATGGAAATGTTAATTACTCTGGTTTGATTACTACACATTGTACACATGAATCAAATCACCCTGTGCTCCATAAACATGTACAATTATTGTCAATTAAAATATAAAATTTAGGGCCAGGATGTAGCTTAGCGGCACAGTCCCTGCCTGGCAAGTGCGAGGCCCTGAGTTTGATTCCCAGTACCAAAAAAGAAAAGTGAAAAAAATTAAATAATTTTTAAATCATAAAAAGGGGTTTGGTGGTGAGGAGGTCAGTGGTAGAGTGTTTGCCTAGAATGCACACACCCTGAGTTCCATCCTCAACCCTGCAAAAACTAACAAAACAAAACAAAACAAAGAAAAAGAATGGTCTGTTCAAGGACTGAGCAACCATTCTCTTGCTCTGCATGTCTATAAGTCCTGTCTTCTTCTCAAAAGTCAGTATTAAGTTTGGTGTTTAAAAGGAAAAGACCTAGAATCTGGACTTAAGCCAAGCACTTGAGACCAATAGTGGGAAAGATAACGAATTTTTAAAAGAATGGTCACTTTGTATAAACAAACCCTTGTCATCCTACTGAGTCATTTAAGGCCAGAATTCCT